TCAGCTCTCTGTGGCCCTGTGCCAGAGTCCTCCAAGGATCTGTGCTGAGTATTCCGTGTGCCTTGTGCCAGGCGCGAGGCCTTCGGGGAGCCAACAGCCCTGCCTTCCAGACCCAGCTGTGCCCGACTTGCCGCCCTGTTACTTAGGCCAAGCCTCACCTGTCCCTCTCTGTGTGATGGAGCCCATTCCTTCAACAAGTACCTACTGGGGCCTCGACGAGGTGCTGGACACTGTTTAGGTGCTAGGGATCCAGCAGCAGGTGCTGGGTGAACAAAAGCGGGCCACCTCTGGTGGGGGGACAGAGTGTGCGGGTGGGGAGTACAAAGGAGGGCGAGGCGGCAGCAGGGCCTGCGAGGCCACAGTGTGGGGCGAAGTCTGGGTGAAGGGAGGCGGGAGAAAACCTTCCTTGTCAAGAGGAAAGCAGCCAGGAGAGGGGACAGCCTCCTGAGCACGCGTGAGCTGAAAGCACCCCGAGGGGCAGCGCCTAGCAGGAGCTGCAAACGGAGCCCCACCGTCGGGCTAGTGGGTCACGTATGCACTCGCTGAACAGACCATGGGGACAAGGGTGGGAGTGGGGTGGGCTCGACAGGAGGTTCCTGAGGGACCCCAGGTTGGAAATGTCGGTGCACCCCGCAGCGGAGGTGGGGGTGTGGTTAGATTCCGGACAAATGTGTATGTGTGAGCTACAGAGTACGTCATCCTCACTAACATTACTTATGACCTAGAGATCATAAATACACGTATATGTGTATTACACAGTGCACAACTGCTGACAGTATATAGCCATGTGAGCTCCAAAAATCTTTGATTATGAGAAATTTCAAGCATATGGACAAAAGTAACTCCTGGGTACCCATCCTGCTACTTCCACAATTAGCCACTCACAGCCGAGTGTTTGTCTCTGCCCCACCTGCTCCCTGCTGCAGTTCAAGATCACTAATTCTGGGCAAAGGTTTTGGAGCAGGACTGGATGTGAAGCATGAGAGGCTGTACAGAGGTATGTGAATGTCTTGCTGCGTGGAGCTGCCATTAATGAGCTGGGAAGCGGGAGCTCGAGGGTGCCCCACTTAGACAATGACAGGCCTTACGGAAGCACCCCAGCCAACACCAGTTTCCATTTTACAAGTTCCTCTAGCCCCTGGCCCAACTGCCAGCCCCCCAAAGTCACAGTGATGCTATGATTGTACCCCAGCCCTAAATCTAGCACCTGGGCTTCTGGCCTTCTCTGCCTGCCCCTGAGGCCAGGCTTCTTCCCACTCAGAGCCTCCTTCCTCTCCTCCATTGTCATGAGAGTGCCACAGGCATTTCTTGTTCCCCTCTTCCATGTCCCCCAGGGCAGTACCATTCTTGCCCCCAACAGTGAACTGCCCATGGTCACACAGTGGACAAGGGGCAAGCTGCTAACTCTAAAGCCCAGCACTCAAAACAGCTACACTCCTAGGTCAGAAAGAAAAGCAGGGCCCGGTGCTGTCGGCGCTTCACAGGGTCAAGGGCAAGTGGGTCTGTGATCGGTGCAGTGAGAATCCAGCAGCGCGCCCACCCTGTCTGCCTCACAGTCACTACCGCAGCCTGGGAGAGGCTCCTCCTCAGGTGGGGGCAGTGTGTGTGTGAAGGTACAGGCCCCCACCTCCCAGACCTTGGCCAGGTTTGCCACGTGACACCTGCCATGACGCCACACTGCAGATGGATGGCCATTTTCTCCTTCTACCCTTTGAAGGCACCCCTGGTCACTCTCTGATGCTCTGGGACATTTACGTTTTCATTCCTGGTCTCACCCAACCACTGAAGCAAAATAATGAAGAAGCTGTGTTCTGCTTGTGAGATATGGCTCCTATATTCCTTTTCTGACTCTCACCTTTGCCCCGGGACCCCTCCTACACAGAGTCTGGCCCTTGGGGGACTCTTACAAAACAAGTACTGAAATGCAGAGGACTTCTATTGTCTCTCACACTTCCCAGGACCCTGCGGACTCCCCCTCCTCTCCACTTCCCCCTCAAACCCCAAGGCTCTGAGAGGTGTGCTCTGTGCCCCAGACTTTTCTCCAGTGTCTGTATTCTCAAGTTCATTCCTATATCAATGGGAACCTTTCTCAAGAAAGGAGTATGCACCATTTTACTCTACATAATGGTGAATCTGGACATGAAGGCTCCACGTATCAAGGAACTGCCTGAGCCCTCCCATGTGTACTGAAGAATTAACTTTCCCTAGCAAAAAAAAAAGCTAATTTTTTTCCAGAAAAGCTAATTTTTAAAAATGGGTAAAGAACCTGAAGATTTTCCCAAAGATCTGAACAGCCAACAGATGCATAAGAAGGTGCTCAACATCACTAACAGGGAAAATGTAAACCAAAACCACAATGAGATAGCACCTCTCACACCCAGCAGAATGGCTTGCATCAAGAGAAAAAGGAGAAAACAAACCAAGGCTGGTGAGGATTTAGAGAAAAGGGAAGCCTTCTACACTACTGGTGAGTTTGTAAATTGATATAGCCACTGTGGGAAAATTTTAAAAAAGAACTACCATACAATATAGCAATTCCCTCCTGGCATTTATCCAAAGGAAATGGAAACAGTACGTGAAGGAGATATCTGCTTGCTATAGTCACAGCAGCATTATTTAGGATAGCAAAATATGGAGACAACCTAAGTGTCTATTAACAAATGAAGAGAAAAGAGTAATGTACTTACAAAGGGATTATTATGCAGCTACTACAAATGATGAAATTCTGCCATTTGCAATAACATAGTGTGTCCTTGAGGCATCACACTAAGTGAAATAAGTCAGAGAAATACAAATAGAAAATATGGTCTCACAATAGGTAGAATAAAAAAACACAAAACAAACCAAACCTGTAGGAAAATAGATCAGAATTGTGCTTACCAAAAGCAGGCGCGAAGAGGAGGGGGAACTGGTTAAAGGTGGTCAGAAAGTAAACACTTCCAGATCTAAGTACTAAGGAGGCAAGGGACAACATGTCTGTCACTAACACTGGCTATGGTAGATCTGAAACATGTCAAGAGAGTAAATCCCACAAGTTCTGATCACAAGGAAGAAGATACTTTTTCTTTTCACTTTTGTTGGACCTATGAGAGATGGTAGCTATTAACTAAACTTATTATGGTAAACATTTCACAACATACACATGTCAAATCATGATTCTATGCACCTTAAATACTATTCAGTTATACCCCAAAACTGGGATTAAAAAACGAGAACCATTTTTTTAAAATAGATCTGGCCTTTGTCCCAGCTCTTAAGAGGAAACTTCTCTGAAATAAAGAACTTGGCTGGTCTTTGTCATCTGTTCTGAGGTTGCCCCTAACTCCTTGTGAATTCCCAAGTAATTGGGAAAATCTTTGTTATTAATGGTAAGCCTGAGTTTATGCTAATAAGGTGGTAGGAAGGGGAGTTGGCCAAAACAGTAAACAACTGTGCTACAGTAACAAACTCCAGGGAGAGAGCTGGGGGTGAGTTCATTGGAGCGGTGAATGATGCACTCAGCCATGCCTAGGGAATGACACGCCAGTAAAACTGGACACAGAGGCTCACGTGAGCTGCGTGGTTGGCCACATGCTGTGTGCTGGCATACACTGAGTGCTAGGAGGTAGCATGTTCTGAATCCACGAGAAGGCAGCTCCCTGACCTTACCTGTCATGTCTCTTCTCTGGCTGGGTCCCACTGGTATCCTGCTGCTGTAATGCAGTAGCAGAAGGCACTCTACTCTGTGTATAGTGAGCTGTCCTGAGTTCCATGAGTCACTCTAGTTACATGAGGTTATAGCCAAAGGTGAGGGTGAACTGGAGAACCCTGAATTTGCAGCTGGTGTCTGAAGTGAAGACACTGTCATGGGGGCTGTGCCTTTAACCTGTGAAATTTTGCCCAATCCTAAGTAGCTAGTCTCCAAAGTTACCACATTCAGTTTGGCAAATCCATACAATCCCAGTGGAAGGATCCCAGGAATGATCAAAGTTCCTACCTCTTGGAACAGTAGCACAAGGCACTGTAAGAACACACCAAATGCAGAAAGAACCTATGATATTTTCTATGTAAACTTCCAGAAAAGGAATATCAGACGCCAAGAGAAGGGTAGTGGAGAGGAAAGGGAAAGAGAGGCTCAGGGAGCCTTCCCACACTGGGCATAAGAATCCGTACCTCACCTGCCCTTATTCCAGAGGAATAAGGCTAGGACAGAAAGGTAGGTGGTTTTGGGCAGACAGAGACATCTGATCTGTAAATCAGTAAGGTTGAGGTTTTCTTCCCATAAACTGAGACACACATTAATTCTCTTTCCAAAAAGAAAACTTGAGATATGTTTCAAACGTAGCTTAGGATATTACCTAGGGCTTCCTTGTATTAAACCTGCTGGGATCCAAATTAAATTTCAACTGGTGTTAAAACTGCAAAAATGGCATGCCTGAGTGTTCAGGTAAGAGAGAGCCCATGCCTACTACTTTCCTTCTACCTAGAGAAAGAATCCCAGATCAGCTTTCTACAAAAGGAGGGTTTCCAAGTTGCCACCCCTATTTGGAAGAAGCCAGGTTGAAACACTATTCAAGTCAAACTTTCTTGCTATTACTCTATCTTTCCTCAGGAGGATTGCACTAAATCAAATTCGGACACCTGTGGCCTCATCTACGCAAACCAAAAAGCAAGCAGTAACCCCAAGCTGATAAGATTAATCTAAAGAGCAAATTATGGTGTAATTTCCTACACTGATACTTTGTAGTTAATTTAAAAAAAAAGGTTTCATTTTCCTATTGGTCTGATTTCACAGGAACATTTACCTGTTTCTGTGAGGCCTTTTTTTCTCCTGGAAGAGGTGCTGATTGGCCCCTAAGACCGACAACCTGCTTCATCGAAAATTTCCAATGTAAACTCATTTTCCCTCAGTTTCAGCAATTTTAAATCTATATATAGAGATATCTTTGTCAGTATTGCATTGTTGGCTCCTCTTGGTAAACTAATTGCCTCACATTGTCCCTGCGATCAGAAATCTATTAATGGGTCTCACTGCCCAACTGATTCCAACTCTGGTCTGTTTATTAGCATGTACCAGCAATTTCGTCCTCGGAAACAAACTCGATCTTACCCTACGAGAGATTATCAAAACGCTGAACAACCTCACAGAGAGAAAGGTGAGTAAGCTATCTGGCACTATCTCTCCAGATGATGACGCCGGAGGTAAGCTTTAGGTTATGAGAAGAACCTAACAGCTTCTAGAACTTGTAGCTGGTGACTGGCTGGCAGGAGGGGAGCAGAACAGAATCATTCCTCTTGGTGTTTTTGTTTTCTGAGGGATTATAGGAAGTTTTCTCAATTTGAGGTTGTGAGAGCAGCTGAGCGAGGATTACTCTGTACAATAGAGGTAACTCTGGTTTTGCTTTCTTGTTCCTGCCTGGGTCAAGGATGCGTGCATGGAGCTGGCTATAGCAGATGTCTTTGCCGCCTCAAAGGTAAGAACCGCTCCAGATGTACTTTGGCAGATGGGTAAACTGGGAGAGGAGAGCCACCCACATCTGTCTGAACAAAACACTTTAAACTTTTTTTTAATTAAAAAAATTAAGTTGTTCAATGATTTCAAAAACAAGGACTATGGTCTTTACTCTTAACCATGTTTTGAAGTTTCTGATTTCACTTGCTTTATAAGAAGCATAAAAGAAAGCTAGGATTTTGTAATCGTAATTCAGATTCTGCTCAAGGAAAAATGCTAGGATTTCACACACCATTGCCTAGTCCCTGGATATAGCAGGCACTTAATACATGCCTATTAAAGGAGACAATTTTCTGGCCTATACATTTCTGAAAAACCAAATACTCTCACAAAAACAGATATTGAGATTACAAGGGAGCTTTCATTTTGTCTAAGAGACTTCCTATGGCAACAGAAAAGGTATCACTGGAGCCTCTCCTCTTTCGCAGTCTTATCACTTAACAGCCACGGGCTCTGGGCACGACTGTCCAAAGACCCTTAGCTTGCTCTGTCCTGCCAACTACCCTCTAGTCTGGGCTGGAATCATCCTGCAGGTGGGGTCCAACACATCCCTGCTTCTGGCTGCTAGGGCATCTTGGCTTTCCACCTGCTGTGCCTCCTCGCTCTGCCCCCCACCCTCCCCCCATCACTGTAGTGGGAGGAGATAGATTTGACAGCTGATAGTGCATTTTCTCTGACAAACACATGACTATAGCCGTATCAATAGCTTTGTGCACATCAGTTCCTGTTTTCATGGAAACACACAACTGAGAATGAAAAACCCAAAGCTTCAACTTACCAGTGGTCTCCTAACCACCTGCTTTCCATGTGTAATAGAGGGGGTAACTTGGCCAGGATAAAGCCCTGTGGGTTAGGCTGGGCCATTATCAGCCCCCAGGCTATAGAATAGGCATGTCCTGCTTCATGAAGAAAACTGTTCTTCAAGCTTTTATTAGGTCTCTCTCATCTCATTAGATTATTCCAAGAGTTATCTATACAATGAAATACATTATTGCAATATAATTAAATATAAAATATTAAGTGTATAATTGTATAATTTAATTTTGTTCTCTAAAATCTCATTCCATATCAGACTATCCATCAACAGGTTGGAAGGGATATTTTACGTGTGTGTTTACATATAAACAAACATTAACGTGTATATGCATATATTTGCATTGCATAAAATTTATGTACACAAAATATCCAAGAATCCACTGGGTTGTGCTCTGGGTTCTCCTAAAACCCAAGGAAGGCCTCAAGAGGAAATTCCGAGGATCTAGAAGTGAGACAGCCTGTGGCTTTTGTCCCAGGTCTGCCACTAACTAGCCAGATGGCCTTTGGCCTCCTTACCTCTTTGTGCCTCAGTTTTCACCTCAAAAGACACAAAAGTGGTTTTGAAAGTTGGTTGGAATCCAACTCTTGAGTTCATGGAAAGTGTTATGGTAAGATGATATAACTCAATCATGGTAAAAAAAAAAAAATAGCTGCAGAATTCTAAGAAGGAAGGAACAGAGGTTGGAAATGATCAAACCTTCCATGACTCCAAGTTCAGACCCAATCACCCCTTGCCGGCACTGAGGAGCACGTAAGGCCATGCTTTCCTCCTGTTTCCTCCTCACTCGGCTCTGACATGCCTCTCTCAACACACAGATAGTAAGTCTCTGCTGCCTTGCTTACTCTGAATAACCTGGTATGCATTTCCTCAGCTGCTTCTATTCTGCCTAGATTAACAAAGTAATTTTTGCAATCTTTTTCTTCTTCAAAGACTCAACACTGCTTAATTATGCATCAAAACACTTCAGAAGAAGGAGAGGATGCTATTTTCAAAACCCACAATCATGGTGTGTGTGAGAGGAAAAGATTCTTCTTTGTATTCCCAAAGAACATCTTTCCAAAATCCAGTATATTGATTTTATTTCTTTTCACGAGCAAGAGTTCTAGTACCTACAAGTTGGGTAGCATCCGCGTTTGGCAGTTTCTCGCGACTCTAAACACCTAGACTGGCAATGCAGACCCCGGCTTCTATCAAATCAAGGTAGTCTTAGGTAGAGCAAAATAGAAAGCAAACAAGCTGGCTGGCCTATGAAGGATTTCTCCAGAACTGGAGGTACTCCCTACTTACCAAGGAGATCAAGCACGTATATTTTGAGAGTGTTCTATACGAACCCTCACATTTCCTTAAGTGAAAAGTAAAGGATTTATCACATATAGCAATGGCTGACTAAATGAATACAACACAAGCGAGACTGGATTTTTACAGCCCTAAATGAAGCTCATCAAGAACCAGGCCAGCACTTAACAGAATCACTGCTACCTATGAAATCACAGCCATTGCTGACTCTGTTAAGAGGGGAAGACTTACAGAAGCTGCTCCTACCCCGTAGTGGTCTTGACAGTCCAAGAGCAGGACCTTTGGGAAAACACGTACTTAGTTCTGACCATGAGCCCTCCTGGACTCTGATTATAGCTGAGAATGTAATGGCCGCACCAGCATCTAGGAGTTGTGAAACCTCCCATAAATCACCACAGCTTCCTGGCGTTTGTGAGTGAGGAGGGGCGGAAAGGCCAAGGCAGACCCTAGCTGTAGGGTGCAGATGCCCACAGTGTAGAAGCCGGAACAGTGAGGCCAGGACCTAGACCCCTCCTCTGGTCTGAGCAGTTCTGAGCTTCAGGGTCTCCAGGCAGTCACAGTGTGCCCACCGAAGGCTACCGGACACGTACAGGCAGTGACAACTGAACAGCAGATGAGCGTGGTCGTGTAAGGTGTCATCTTGTCACTGCAACACAGCTGGAATTCGAGCTTTAAGGCTTTCCATTAAAGCTGCCTTAAGAACTAGCTTTCTGGGGTTTTCTGTTTGACTCATACTCTTTTCAATTCCTACTTTATCCTAATTACCTTTCGAAAGTCCTTTGAAAAATATCTTTATCTGTAATACAGGGTTTTTTCCCACCTGTATTACACAGCCATATTCTTAAAACTAAGGTGATTTAATTTCTAGGACCCAAGCCAGTTTCAGAGGCTCATCGGGTTGTCTCCCTCGGACCTTGTGAGACCCTCGCTGTTCCGGCACCTACACTGCGGGCATCTGCACTCTACAGCTAGGGTCTGCCTTGGCCTTTCCGCCCCTCCTCACTCACAAACGCCAGGAAGCTGTGGTGATTTATGGGAGGTTTCACAACTCCGGAAGCCCAGAGATGCTGGTGCGGACATTACATTCCCAGCTACAATCAGGGTCCAGGAGGTCCGCTCACTAAGTACGTGTTTTCCCAAAGGTCCTGTCCTTGGGCTATCAAGACAAATAGGGGGTAGGAGGAACTTTTGTAGTCTGGAATTCTGGCACCTGTACCTGGGTCTGGAAGCAAGAACTACTCTTCTAGAATCTAGCCCCAAAGAAATGAGAAGAGCACAGATCGACTTAGGTAACTCACCGCCATACTTGCAGAAGCAAAAACTCACAACAGTAAACAATCAGAAAAAGTATGTGAGAACCTAAAAAGCTGCACAGACAGTGCTTCTCATGTAAGTGCTCTGGAGAGCTTGTTAATGCACACAGTGCATTCAGTGGGTGGGTGCCTGAGAATCTGCATTTCTAGCAGGCTCCCAGGTGAGGCCCACACTGCTGCTCCCTGGATCACACTTTGAGTGGCAAGGAACTCTGCACATGCCCTGGCAGAGGCGAGAGATGCCTTTTTTCCCGTCTGCACTGGGTTAGGCTCCAGCTGACATCGCGGCCCTATGCCGCTCTTCTTCAGTGCCAAATGAAAAGGACACACCAGGCTGATTCAGACTGAGACACAATCCCCTGCCAAGCTCCCAACAAGAGCTGCTATCCCATTTGTGCACTCCTTTTCCTAAGACCCAGCTGTCTTGAGAGCAAGCCCAGCAGCCATATCCACGCCAGAAAGGCCAGCGTTCTGTGAACTTCCCATTAGTGGCCAGACCCCTCACGGAGCTACCACTTAACAGCATCCTCTCACACCCCTTTTCCCCCACACCTCCGGCCAGCCTCTGGGCACCTAGTCTTGATCTCAGCACCCACCTCCAAATGGACCCCGAGCTCCTGCACATACTTTTACCCCTCATGGCAAAGCTTAAATGGAGAGTGCGAATGAAAAAGCACTGTTCAGGCTACAGGTTGGGCATTCACTTATTCAACAAAAACAGAGATTTCCAGGGAAACCTGAATTTTAAAACCTCATAGAAATGGGAGAATTTGACGAGGAGCTCATGTAGGAAACGGCCACTGAAAGAACAGCTTGTATGATGAAAACAAACAGGCAGAGGCTGTGGACAGCTCAGCACTCAAAGCTACCATTTACTTACTGAGTGACTTAGCTTTCATTTCATCAAAACTCACTAAATAAGCTGGGAAGTTCTAAGGCGAAGGCTGCTGCATTTGCAGGGCACTGGGGAAGGCTGTTTACCGTTTATGGCTGTGACGAGCAGCCCTCATTCACGCGGCAGGAAAATTTGAAAACCTAATTCATAGTTAGCATCCTTCTCTACTTGCCTATTTCTCTATTTGTTTTCTTGGAAAGAAGAACTTAGAGAAACTCTCCCTTGTTCAAAACAGAGCTAGCACATGGCTACCCAGGACATTTCTTTTTCTAGAACACAACTGAGCAGGAAACCTTCTGCAGGGCCGCAACCGAGCTTCGGCACTTCTACAAACACCACAAGTGCTTACCCAAATATGCAAGAGGACTCGAAAGGAACCTCAGCGGCATGGCAAACATGGTAAGCTGCCAGCTTAGCTCCCGATGCCAGCAGACTCTCCTCTGTATGTGCCCTAGGAGTATTCTTGGCTATTCAACCTATTCATTCACTCATTCAACAGATCCCTTCAGGTTCTTTGTGTACCGGGTGCTGCTCTAGGTACTGGGGACAAAGTACTAAAGAGGCAAAGAGTTCTTACTCTTACAGAATGTTCTAATGGGGTAGTTAGAAAAATCAAACATGTGATATGTCCGGTATTAATAAACACTGTGAAGAAAAGCACAATAATAAAAGAACACAGGATTCAGGCTGCCATAGTAGTTGGTAACATCTGAGCAAATTATTTGAGTTAAATAAGCAGACATAACTAGCTCAAACTCCCATGGGCATGGTATGGGATACCCATAGGATTTTAGGCAGGACAGAGACTACAATCAGATTTTTGAGAGTTAAAATGGTTACTCTGGCTACAGTGTGGAAAACAGACTGAATAGGAGTAAGCACAGAAGCGAGATGGCTACATGAGGGGGGGCGGTGTCTACTGCAGTAATCTAGATTTAAGATCATGGTGGATTAAACAGAGTGGGAAGATTAGAGTTTGTCGTATTTAGGATATAGCTAAAATAGAGCCAAAAGGATTTGCTGACAGAGAAGATGTGAGAGGTTATGGAAAGAACAAAAGAGGACCTCTTATTCATGGCCTGAACCCCTATAAGGGCTGGTTGGCACTGTTTACAAATACAGATGACTTGGAGCAAAGCAGGTCTGAAAGTTAAATGGAAGCGTGAGAGTTCTTGTCTAAGATAAATTTGAGATGCCTATTGGAGAGCTAGGTGAAGATGTTAAGAGGATTATTAGAAAAGTCTGAAACTTGGAGGAAAGGGTAGGACTTATGACATGAGCTCTCAGAAAGATGTTATTTAGAGTGATGACCTGAATGACAAAGAAATTCAAAGACTGAGTCCAGAAGCACTCTAACACAGAGAACAAGGAGAGAGAATCAGCTAATGAAGTAGGAAAAAGCTGAAGTGTGTGTGGCTCCCAGAAGGCAAGCGAAGAAACTCTTGTGAGGGAATGATAATCTCCTGAAGGTCAAGTTCCATAATATCTGACAATGGTCATAGGATTTGCCATGATGGAGGTCACCAGTGATGCTGCATAGAGATAGCATGGGAACAAAAACCTAGAGTGGGTTCAACAGGGAAGTAGGGAGCAGTGAAAAGGGGCAGTGAGTACAGAAACTTCTTCTGAGGTGTTTTGTTATAAGGTTGCAGAGAAATAGAAAAGCTGAAGGGTGGGTACGAAGGAAGGAAGCATTTTTTAAGGTGTGGTATGCATTTGGCATGCTGATATGCCAGCGGGAATGATCCAGCAGAGAAAGAAGAAGTGACTGTTCAGGAGAGGAAGAGCAAGAGTGAACCCGATCTAGTGCCAAGTTGAGTCTGCTGTCTTATTTATAAGGTTCTGGGGCAGGGAGCTGACACAGCACGCGTCCTTTTAATCCTTTTATGAATTAAGCACTGTGACCCTTCTTTGCAAAGGAGAAGACTGAAACTTTTGTAAATGAAGTAGCTTGCCCTAAAAAAAGCAACTAATAAATTGACAGAGTGGAGATTCCCACTGAAGCAGTGGCCTGGTCATAGGTAGCTGGAGCCCTGCCTACCTGTACTGCCACCAAGCTGTGGTGCTGCTTTTCAGTGAGGGAGAGAGCAAATGGACAGCTCTCTCAGTGGTCCAGACAGCCATGTAAAGTCCCGGTACTCAGTGGCCAGGTCTGAGTCTCTGCCTTCAGTTTGCACCCCCTGAGCAGCACTTTCTGTAACATACCTCTCCAGACTGCAGCACTTCTGAAGACAGTCAAGGGAGGTAGAATAACCGCTTCTAAGAACGTAAGTGGTATGCATCAAAAACAGGCAAACCCTGCTGGCCTAGAGGCAAACGTAGGTTCCCAGTAACACTGAACAGGAGGCACTCATTTCATAACTGTTCAGGAGGCAAGCGCAGGTGTACAGTTAGGGAGACAGGACTGACAGTAAGACTTAAGCATTTAGCAGCAATGAAAGCTAATGAAATGTTTCTTTTGTAGAGCAACTGCCCTGTGAAGGAAGCCAAGAAGAGTACACTGAAAGACTTCTTGGAAAGGCTAAAGATGATCATGAAAGAGAAATATGCAAAGTACTGAAGCTGAATTAATTTAATTTATGAGTTTTTATTGCCTTTAAAATATTTATATATTTATAACACATCTTAAAATAAAGTCCATGTATAATCTGACAACATGACATGTCTTTTGTAGCACTGGCTATATTCACTTGACAAATGAAAGTTGTGGTTTACAACTTTTGGGGAAACCAATTTAATTTACTGAGACTAAAATGAGTGTGGGAGTTAAAAAGGAAAAGACTGCTTTCTTCTCAGAAAGTTCATTCTCTAGTTGGGGACATGACATAAGAAATGATTAAATAGTCCCAGGCCATGCAGATGTAAATGATGAGAGCCGGCAGAGTGGCTCCATGGGTCTCCCTGACTATGAAATAATTCTGAATTGAAAAGGTGTCACTTGGCAGCTTATAAGGTTCTTCTTTCCTGACACATGGGTAGTTATATTATGTCTGTAAGAGAGAAAAATTCTAGCATGCTATGTGATTCTGCAGTGAACAATAATTAAAGTTCTGATAAGGCAACATCACTTGATTCTTCGGTCTTAGATAATCAACAAAGCACAGCAGACTTAATTTTTTTTTTAAAGATTTTAGTTATTTATGCATACAGAAATGGGTATAGGCCAGAGGTGCAGGGGTGATGATAAGATTCACCAGAGACAGAGTGGGAAGCAGAAGGGGCAGACTGAGGAAGTACACTGCAGAGGGGAGCAGTGGGCAAGACAGGAGAGGTCTGCGGCGCCATGTGGGTAACCTCAAGGGTGGGGATCAAACTTCACAGAAGCAGCCATGGCTTGGCTTAGTTTTGCAGTGCAGCGCTCCAACCTGCTGTGCCACCACGGAGGGCCAGAAGACTTAATTATGGTTACAGAACAGAATGTAAATGCTATCAACATGACAATAAAAAAGGTAATGCTCAAATGAGAGGTCAAGGCATAGCAAAGAGAGGCACTAGTTTTTGGGGAGGGTTTGGCTAAGCAGAAGTGCCTAGTTGATAGAACAAGAGCAATAAATTTAAAGATTCAACATTTCAAAGGTAATAGATCTAAAATTAATTTATTATAAAAAATTTTATTAAAAATTTTATTATAAAATTAATTTATTGTAAATGAGCTAAATCCTTACTCTCAACAAGAAAAGTGATTGCAGGTTGTAGTTGGGGACATGTAGACATGAGTGTTGACTATACTACTCTGCTTTTAAACATGTATAAAGTATTTATAAGTGAAAAAAAAAGTGAATCAATAAGTCTTTAGAATTATGACAGCCACAAAACACTGCATGACATACATATCAGTAACATCTTTAAAGGCATATCACCTGAAGCAAAGAAAATGAAGGAAAGATAAACAGTTGGGATTACATCAAATTAAAGAGCTCCTATACAGCAAAAGAGACATTAGCCAAAACATGCCACTGACTGGGAGAAAGTTCTTGCACACAATACTAATGACAAGAGATTGATCACAAAGATCTACAGAGAGCTAACAAAGCTCAACAAAAAAAAAAAACAAAATAAACAACCCCATCGAAAAAGGGCAGAAGAGCTAAAAAGACACTTTTCCAAAGAAGAAATGCAAATGGCCAATAGGCATCTGAAAAAAATGTTCAACATCACTTGTAATCAGGGAAATAAAAATCACAATGAGATACCACCTTACACCAGTGAGAATGGCACATATTAAAAACACTAACTACAGGGCCCTCCCTGGTGGCATAACGGATTAAAGTGCAACACTATAAAGTGATGGGCAGCCCCTGCAGCACAAGTTCGATTCCTGGCCCAGGAGGTGATCCATATGGCATGGTATGACCTGCCTGCTGCTCCTCACATTGTCTCTGATGAATCTTCTCACCCCCAGTACCTTTGGCCTGTACCCCAGTTCTAGTATGAATGAATCAATCTTAAAAAAAAAAAAAAAAAGCTAGCAACAACAAATATTGGTGAGGACATGGAGAAATAGAACTTTCCTACACTGCTGGTAGGAATGCAAACTGGTCCAACCACTATGAAGAGCTGTGTGGAAGTTTCTCAAGTGACTAAAAATGGAGCTTCCCTATCATCTAGCAATTCCACTCCTAAGAATCTACCCAAAGTACACAAAAACATTCATTCAAAGGACACCTACACCCCTATTTTATTACAGCACAATTTACAATAAGTAAGCTATGGAAGCAACCCAGATACCCAAAAATAGATGACTGGATCAAGAAGATGTGGTATATTTACACTATAAAATACTACTCAGCAACCAAAAGGGATAAACTCATGCCCTTCCTCCAACACGGAGGGAGCTAGAATGGATTATGTTTAGTGAATTCAGCCAGAAAGAAAAAGAAAAATATCAAATAGTCTCACTTATAGGAGGACTGTAGAGAAAACAAAAAAGGAATCAGAAAAAGAAAAGAAACTATAATAAAGTGAAAATTAAAACCATCAGGCAACTATAAATCAGACACAGGGGAGGAGGAGGAGGAGGAAGGACCAGGAGTGGAAGAGCACAAGGTCTACAGGGATGGTGCACAGGTGAACTGGTGGTGGGAATTTCATGGGGAAATCATACTTTGTACAAAAATGAGGGATAAGGTACTAAATATATATATTTTTTTAAAGAATTACGACAGCCACCAGAAACACTAACCTGGCTAAAAATGGACCTTGGAACAAGGATCAGTCAAAGCAAAGTATAAACTGCTTTCCATTTTAAGTCTGTGTGTATGCGAATAATGAAAAAAATGTGTTTTTTAAAATTATAGAAAGCAACAAATGTTGGTGAAGATGTGGGAAAACTGGAATCCTGGCTGATGTTTCTGGAAAGTGGTGCAATCACTTTGGAAAACACTATTGTTATTATAATATGATCCAGCAATCCCAATCCTAGGTATTTACCCAAAAGAACTTAAAACCTCTACATAAATGCTCAAAATATTACTCATAACAACAACAACAAAAAAACACCCAGGAACCACACAAATGTCAATCAACTAATGAATGGATAAACTATGGTACATCCTTATGATGAAGTATAATTTGAAATGAAGTACTGATACTATTTGAAGTTATATTCTCTGTAGTATGTAAGTTTCAAAGTCTTTATGGTTAGTATTTTTCCATTTATTTTTTAAAATAAACTTTATTGAGCTATTACATCTATAAAATGAATCCTTTTGAGAGGTTAAGTATCACTGAATGAACCTTTGAAACATTACATTAAGTGGAAGGTAACAGACACAACAGGTCCCATATGATATGTTTCCATTTACAGGAAATGTTTAGAGGCAAAATGTAGATTACTGGTTCCTACGCTCCTAGCAGATAGAGTAATAGCCAGTGACTACTAAAGGACACAGTGTTTCTTTCATGGTGACAAAAATGTTCTGATCTTAGATGGTGGTGACAGTTGCACAGCTCTGTGAATATATTAAAACCAATGATATTCACCTCTCAAAAGCATTAATTTTATAGATATAATTCAATAAAGTTATCTTAAAAAATTAAATGGAAAACCACAAAGATTTTGAAACTCACTATTTGAAGATCTATTCTCTGTAAGAATATGGATCTAGCAATAGTGAATGTGCATTCTTTTCATTCTCGCTTACACATGACAAAAATTATTACTAGTACTAAAATTATACTAAAACATGCAACATCTCTTTAACCCTTTCAAAATATGGGAAAAAATCAAAAGCTTAAAGTCTCACCCTGACCACAGCCAGTTTCACCCTGCCCACATAAAATACCAATATGCCAAGGGCAATAAGTAACTAAGAGTCATGGAGCCTTCTAAGACCACATTGAAAACTTTAATTTCCTTTTTTCTTTGATTGAGACTCATTTGCATTTAATGGCTAATTTGAGCTGTACTCTGCCACAGGATATGAGTTGTGGGTTACGTTGCTGTATGAGGCCAGGATGGTAAAAGGAAAAGCTGTGAGGAAGAAAGACTTAGAAAGAGCCACGGAAAGGACATACACAAGCTCCAGGTACTCTGTCACAAGAAAAGCTTTTATAGTTAAGATACAACTCACAATTCTACTTATTTCCAGACAGGCAGTCCGAGCCACTGGATGGAAGTGCCCGAAAGTAAGCTTGAGGATTGACCCAAGGGAGTGAGAGAACATCAACTGAGGAAGACACACAAGGGCGAGCCAGTGAAGAAACTTTATGATGAAGCAATGTTGAGAAGCTAGTCTTCTCACACTTTCCTTTATGACACTGGGCCACAATCCAAGCCTGCTTCATGGAACTTGCCACTGGTCTAGGCGTGAAATGTGCACCTCTGACACAAAGGCTTCTTGCCAGCACCTACATACACCATTTACCTATGAATGAACCCTTTAGCTAGCATTAAGTCTTGTTGAACAAATGAGCGACAAATCATTTCATTTTGTTCAAATATTTGGCAGAATGTCTTATTGAAATACATTTAGACTATGATTAGAAATGCTGGTCTCTCGTAAAGGCATCAGGGGCTCTCTTGTGGCTGTTTCTGTGTCCATACTAGTGATCCTATCCTGTTCCCCCCCCCCCCCCAGAAGTCATCCCGGTGCACACTCAGGTCGCTCACATCATCTGATAATGCAGAATCTCAGGGCAGAGCAGTGCACAGCATCCTCATGGATCAAGACACACAAGAATGTGCATTTGTGGCCTACTGGCATGAAGGTTCATGTCTTAGTCCCTACCAGCTTTCATGGAGAAAAGGCAGGCACTTTGTCTAGATTTGTGCTGATGTCTGCCTTTCCCAGCTCAGGTTGGAGTTCCAGGGAAACCTCCCAGGAAGCCATCATGCCTCACATTTCCTGACATCCTCTCCTTAGCTCTCTCAAGTGCTTCTATTTGAATCAATCCTGTCAACTTCTTCCTAGTTGAACTTTTAGTCTCTAAGTATCTAAGCCTTTGTTTCCTGTTAGCCAGTGTTAAACCACACATAAGCACATTTTGATGTTTTATGTGCTAGTCACAGTCCTGGGAACCTACTGGACAGGTGAGTAGACAGCTTGTTCCCTGTCTAGGTAGCAGTCATCCACCAACCTAAGACTTCAGGCTCAGCAGCAGTTGTTACTCTAAAACACAATGTGAGTGACCGACTTACAATCTCTCCGTGCTTCTCAATGCTTACAAAAAGCTCTTTCACATCAGGATCCTGGTCTCTCTCTTCCCTTTTTGGACTCATCTTTCCGTATTTGCTTTGTCCGACTTCAAACCCATCACCAAGACATGTGGAATCCAGATGTGCGTGACTTCTGTGATGCCTCTGGGACTCCTCTAACACCTCACATGGCACTTCCCCTGAGCAGACACCGCTTTTGATCTTTTGGTTAGGTGGACAGGTGTCAGACAGTCTTCACTCCTAGGGAGAGATCCATTCCTGGCAGCTTACCAGAGTATCCCTTCCTCCACAACAGCCCCCAGCACGGACACTCTGTCACTCTGGTTGCCACTCCCTCCTGAGGAAGGCTGTGAGCTTTGCAAGGACCTTCTTCTCAGCACTGTGTAGGTACACAGTAAGTACAGAAGCCATATACATGATTAACATAAGGAGCTACCCTAAAGGAGATGCAATTACAACAGGATAGCTGATGACTAACTGGCTTACCTCTTGATGGAGAAGAAATCAAAACCAACATAAATATTTCTGTAATACTGATAGTTTTAAGTTGGGTTAGGCAATATCCTCTTGCTAAGATTGCTATCAACTCTCAGAAGTATTTCATTCAGTTGTAAAGTCCCAGTTAAATTCCTTTGTACAATTGGAGAAATAAAGCCTTTGATTAAAAACTGAAATTTCCCCAGCCCTCTCAAAAGAGGTGGGGGAGGGGAGCAGGTGTGGAAGAATATATGATCTATCATATTCTTTAGTCATAAACGTGTTTGGGTAAAACAATGCGATGTTCTGATAACACTGATAAAAGTAACTTCAAGATTGGGTCACAGGAAGCCTAAGATAAATGCTGAGAGGAAACAGGTTCTTTTTGAAGTAGCCTCTTCATAATCATTTTCCCACACATTTGTTCAACTTCCGAAGGATGACTGAATGCTTGATTTGCTTTGCAAATGAAACAGTTTAAGAATGAGACATTCTGATAATGTTGTAACAAATGTTTTTAGAAATCTCCAGCTCACTTTAACTTTAGGCTCTGGCCTCAACTTTCTGTGACTTATAGGCACAGGTTGTGTCACTTGAAGACTTCTTCTTGGGAGTCTTTGTTGTGTGTTACTACTTGTTTTTAGAACAGACTTCTCAAGGGTCTTCAAAGAAGATGAAGTGGAAGATGTCCCCTGCAGCACCCTGATAACACAGTCAGTTGCAGGTTTCCTAAGTTTGCCTGAGTGGTGCTGCTTGACGGAAGTGAGGACCACAGCTTCCAAATTCAAGTGGGGGCATGGGGCAAGAGTGTGAAGGCAGCACTATTTACTATTTTACTTATGCCATGACAGGTATTTAATTTTATTTTCATGTTCTGCACATGTGTCCAAGTTTTATAGAACCTAGCAGCTGGGAAAATGAAGACAGTAAGCCCTGAAATGACCAGGGGAGACTCTACTCCTGTGCAAAAATCACATTCAAGTCTTTTGAAATTGTCAACAAATCAAAACTTCTCAGTCTTCCCTTGACTTTCTTACAGTTGCTTAGCACAGTGCCTGCTAATCAATAAATGCCTATCATAAGAGCACATGATTAACAATTCCAGCAATGAAATTGTTTTGGAGATATTTTAAAAGCTCATTAAAATTTTTCAAAGAGATCATGATATTGTTATCGCTAGAAGTATCTCCTTTTACCTTTCTGTGAGACACATTCTCCATATACACTTCAAGTAGTTTCTATTCTCAAACACCTAATAAAAAAGATAACAAAATTTGAATGGGAAGTATTTTAAGTAAATTGTACCCATGATAAGAAACTCACTTAAAACACCTCTTCTAGGTTTATATTTCATATAATTTCTGTTTAGATATGCACCACTTCTTTCTCTTAACCATATGAAATTGAAATGCCAAACACAAAGAACTTGTCTATTAATATCCCAACAGATGCAAACTTAAAAATAATTTTTAAAAAAAGCAAACTACTACTACAGGCAATAGTAAAGATTTTTATTTCTTATTTAAACCATGCTGCATGTATACATATAATATCAATATATACAACTTGAACAAATACAATTTTTACATAAAATACAAAGAAAGTGTGGCTTTTGAAATTAATGTAACAAATGCACTGTACAACTCATAATTTTGGTCGGTATACAGTGTTATAATAATGCTACTGAAGTTATTAATGATTTAGACTACTGTGTAAGTTCAAAGGCACTAAGAAGATCTATGTTTTCTAGCATTTTAAGAACAAAGGATAACTAAAAAAGAAAACAGATGTATGCATTAAGAAATTGGGCAGATACTGGCGTGCTTAAATGTAAACTCTACCCATTCCTTAATTCACAGCCCTATAGAAAAGAGAGGGATTTCCTTAAGAATTATGGGGAAAAAAGTTTTTAAAAGACTAAAAAGAAACAAAACAAAAAAGTCCCCCCAAAGCCATAATCATACTTTTAATAACAATTTACAGATGAAGTAGCACCACCCCTTTACCCAAAGTAACTTTTTAAACTTGCTGCAAAAAAAATGTTTTCTTTTTTTCAGAAAGTAGGTATCACAGCTTGTCAAATGGATTTACTTGAGGGATAAAACATGCGCACAGACCTCTCTCCCTTAATCCTATACTTTTACAGAATCAAAACAAAAATAAGAAATACTATTTTGTATTTTAATATTCTAAGGATTAACGTATGTTAATTATAGGATTTTTCAAAGAACATACTATATAAATAACATTCCACCAAGGATCCTTTTAATAAATAAATACTACCTTTTAAATTAAAGGGAAAAGAGAATAACCATTTAATAACTTATTTTATATATGTCATTCAAAATCTACCTATTTCAAATAATGAGTAAGTTTGTCCATTTATTTCCTTTCATGAAATTAACACAAGAAGTTACAAAAAAGTCCACTTGTAGACCAAGACAGTAAAAATGGAAAGCACAGAGCTGCTATGACTGGAGCTAAATGAAGACCTCTAAAGTCAGTGTCCCGAGTTTTAATACAGCTATACAGGCCTCGCTCAAATATATAATTTTTGGTATTTCCAAAGAAGAATATTTAATGTTTATCTGGTATACTCAGTTCTAATGTAAATGCTTTTTTTAAAAGCTACTGCAGCAATCTTTTTTTTAAACTATGTTTTGATTTGTTATAGATTTCTTTTTGTAGGGTAGAATAGAAAAAAGAATCTAATATGCAGGTTTAAAATTTTCATAGTTTCAAAGTTTAATGCAAAAGTTATTCCTTTCCTATTAACTGAACTGTTAAAGGCCAGAAACATAATTTTCAAAAAGGATTATTCATCTTTTTTTCTACTGGTAAAATTAAGATCTTTTTTTCTACTGGTAAAATTAAGATTTTTCTAGAGTAATTACTAACAGTTAAATGTGTGTCTACAACTGCCAAGATATCCTGCTTACACAAATTACAAGACAAATTCACCTCAAGTCTTCACAGTATCTAGACAATGCCCCACAGAATAAAGTGATAAACTTCTCTTATAAACTACAAAGAAAATGCACCAATTAAAGGCAATTCTTATGACCTATAAAATATTCACCTTATACAGGACATTTACTACACCACCATTGGAATGTACTTTAAATGTATGGACACATTAGTACCAATTCTCAGGTAGACCATACTCACACTCACTTTATATACAGCTTTATAATTACAAATCAGTATATAACCTATTAAAATTACACTAATTTAATAAATATTAACTTATGAAGTCTCAAAACTTGCAACTGATATATTCCAGGGCTGATTACATAATTTTAAACTCATAAAAAGATTCGCTAAGTGGTTTAGGAGAAGCATAGTTTAAAAAAAATAAAATTTTGTAAGCTGCCCACAAAAGAACAATTTAACAGAAGAAATTTAAGGAAGAATATTTCCCTTTTACACAATATTAAAGACCAAAGTGTTTTAAAGGCAAATAATTAAAGGATACTTTTCTTACTTGGTTGGCTGTATTTTCTAGAAAATAAGAGACTCTTCCCAATTGGATAAAGAACAATTTCCATCAAACTTTAGAAATCAGATACAAGGAAAGTGATACATCCCTTAGTGACACTTCAAAGTGAATTTTAACAATCATATATATAGATGCAAAGACTAATGATCAGTACTTAGCTTCTTAACTTTCTGCAACTGTAACTCCTTTACATTTCATGTTTCAATAGAACATGAAACTACCAAAAAAAATGGTATTTTGACTAAAGTGGCAAAAAAGGTCAAGAGAGATCCAAATGAAACATACCTTCAGCTTCTGTTTTTAAAGCATTAATACTTCCAAAGACTGACTGTGGAATAGTAAAATTCTCTACAGATAGCCAGTAAGATCATTCATCTCACACTTAAAATGCAATGAGTGTTATAAAATTAGAGCATATTTAACAAGCCAAGTGGATGTTAACATTATGTCATATTTTAGATATGCAGCCCAAACATTCATGTATAATGGCACAACGAAGGACAACCACATCTACTAGTTTCTATGTGTAGAACAGAACACATAATATATTTTCTCTTGTGAAATTCTGGTCATCTAAATATACAGTAACTGGGTAAACCAGTAGATTTATGTATACATTTTTAAGTTGCAACGTTCTATAGTATTATCTGCTCCCCCAATTCTCTACACAGTATAAAGTAAGAAATAGCACAATTTAAACAATTACCGATTATACAATTTTAATGTTAAGAGTAATATAAGTATAGACTAAAAAGTTATGAGGCAAATTATTCTTTCCAGTCTTATTCCTTGATCTACAACTTCCATTATTTGGAATTACACAACCATCTGCAGTGTTTTAATGAAAGACTTTGTCGAAGCATAAGAATATCACTATACTTTTTATTGTAAGTCTTTAACATTACTGAAGTAAAGAATCAATTACAGTTTCAGGCTTTGCAGAACGCTTTCTGTTTAGAGAAGAGAAAAAGAAAACATGAATGCTTTTCTAAAAGACTGAAATGCAAACACTTAAGTAGCAGATAATACAGAGTGGTCACAGGCACCAGAAACAGACCCAGATGTGATGTGAGACTAAAGCCCACCTTTGCAGGCTGGGGAAGGCTGCCCAGAGCAAGAGCACTTAGGTGTTCTCCCTGCCCACCCAGAATGGCAAGGGATGAAGAGGGTAATTTCCAAATTTACACTAGGTAGCATGGCCTATACTGAGGCCAACTGAGGCCAAGAAAGTGCCATGCTTGCCAAATCTGAACCACTTGATTATTTCTTCTGGGGTATACTAAAGGTACAGGTTAATTCAGTGAAAACCACACGCAAATCATCTGAGGAAACATCATAATGTGTAAGAACCAATGGAACTGCTACATCAATGTACCACTTACTATAATTTTGCTCAGCACATGAAGCTACATAATTTTAATGAGGAATTATCACACTGAACATTATCATCTTCCATAATCAATAAAACCATTTATTGTGTATATTTACCTGTACTTAAGACTATCATTAGGATTTTCATAATATAGCAGGCTAATTCTAATACAAAGAGAGGCTGGATTTGGCTCATTTAATATTGATTTATGTACTTTTGCCTTTTTTTTATGGTTAAGCCAAAAAACTATATTATTTTAAAATGGGCATTCTGAAAACTGTACCCAATTACCAAATCCAAATATTTGTTTGTTTTAGGCCTCATATTTTAAGAAATAAAGTAAATAAAAACTGATAGATCTCATGTACCAATCTAGATTCCTGGCTTCTTAGAAACAGAAAGATCTAGAAACAAGGGACACTCTATTACCAGATCTAACTAGAAACAGAGCAGCAGTCACTTGCTTTAAACAGATCCTTCTTCAGTGTGCTCCAGTCCCCACTTCTGCTTACTTCAGTCCTATACTGAGGCCAACTGTCTTCCCATTTATCATCACACTCACATTGTTATTTTTATTACTAAGTGCAGAGTTAAGGAAAAAATATCTCCTTGAAAAGGGAAAAGACCTGTCCTAGAAGGACAGTTTCTTTGAACTGATTTGTTTCATTCATTCCATACTACATGGGTAAACTTCTGTTGGCATGTAACTTTTTAAACCTGTGGCACCTAAATGCTAAAGAATACAGGAATTTGTACTTTTAATATACTACTAATTCATCCTCCCCCAGGTTCAACTATCAGTGTTAGGTTATGTCCATGGGATATTTGAACCACAAAAATACTAAAACTATCAATCTCACCCTACTTGTAACTCAGAAGTCCAGATACTCAGAAATCCAGTAGGGAAAAGAGCTTATTAGCTTGTTATTAGTCATTTCACGAGCCCAAAGTATTACATTTTAAACAAGTTGAACAGTACATAATGTAGGGAAGGAAGAGAAGTAATAAGCTCTAACACGAGGTTCCCAAATACTAGTTTATATTATGATTTCCCTGGCCTTATCTCATGATACAAGTACACTATTAAGCAGTTAAAACCATGCCCAAAGAAAAAGAGAAAGATGGTCAAATAAATTAAGGTTCTTGGGAGCAATGTTTATGACAGAAAAACAAATCTTAATACAAACCTTTTAGGTATTTAACCAGGCAACTCAATTAGCATGACACTAGAAAAATCAGTCTAAGAATTAAGTCAACAGACGACTTTAGATGTATCTGAAAGAATGAAGTAAATTAAAAATAAATTCTATTACTAAGGGGGGGGGCTGAAGAAATTGGGATAACTTAATTTTTTAGCCAGATTTACTCAAATTATAACTACCTAAGTACTGAAACTTATATTAACATATCAACTGAAATATTTGTAAAAGTCAACTAAATTTCCTCTACTCAGAACATCTCAAAGCCTTTGTCTGATAGGATTCAAAGACAATCCTTACCGTCTCCCTGTTTTTGGTCTTGTTTTCCCCTTTGAAGTCCGTGGCCTTTCCAATTTCATTAAAGACTGTCGCAGGCTCTCCTCAGTATAGGCAAGATATACGTGAGAAAGGTCTACTTCAAAGGGCTAGGTGAAGGAAAGAAGTACAATGCACTCTTATAAGGAGAAATTAAATCGCATTTGGGGGGCAATTCTAAATACTGAATAAAACTCCATGAAAAAAGTCAGAGAAGACCAAATAAATATCTAAAGGTAGTTTATTCTACCGCCTTTTTTCTCAAACATTTTATACACATATACATACATACATACATACATATATATATATATATATATATTACACACACACACCAAGTATTGGTGAATAAGCCCCACAAGTTCCTTAGAAGTAATGAAAAATGTGTCATTTTCCTTAAAGCTGCTACTCCCACTTGTTGACTAGCTTTGAAAAGGAAAAACACATTCTAGTCTCTAACCATATTCCCATGACCTAGCAAGGCTATGAAGAGTGCTCCCAAGACTGATTCCAAGTCCCCCTCTGGTGTAAATGATAGCCCTGCTATAATAACCAAGGGTGAGCAGAAGTGTCCCAATAATCACCCCATCCTATAGCCTCTAGGCTAGATTCATTCATTTTTCAGCAGAGCTGTTGAATAGATTATCAAGATGAAGCATAATTTTGTGACCCACAGTCCTGTTAGGAAGTAACTAATTTTTAAAAATCATTCTTACATCTTTTTCTTTTTTATCAGCAACAGGAGTCTGCTTCCTCATGTTATTCCCTGTGTAGGCCACACATTTCTCAAAAAAAGAAAAAAAAAAGGGTGAGGATGAAGGGAAGAAAATTGTCTTAATTAGCAATACTGTGAACAAGGTAAATTACTATGAGAAATAATATTACACTCATAAAACCTGCTAGAACAGAAAGGGAGCCCAGTGGTTATTCAATTCCATGAAGCCCTAGCCTAGGGCACTTATACTAAACACTCTCTGTTCCAGCTAATTAGAAAACCATGTCATCCACCCTACTGCATTCTCCAGGTTCATACTCTGGACCATCTTTCTCTCCAAAGTGCCCAGCACAATTCTAACTCTAGGGGAAGTGCTCCCAAGTATTTCATGAAAGGATGAAGGTAATACTCACTAGCTGCCATTCTCCTATGTCTTCATTCCAGTGGACATAGTTTTCAATCATTTCCTTTTAAAAGAGTCAAAGACAGCCTACTTTTAACATTTAATAATAAAGAAAAAATTAATGGAATTTAAACCTCAGTAATATAAATGAAGTCCCAAAAGATTATATACTACTGGTACCCTTTTTAAAGATTTCTAAATATACACCTTTTAGAAATGTATATAAATACAATTGAGCTACAGAAAAATAAAAGGAGAGGGAGAAATCATTTGGTTTGAAGTACTATCATGATCTGAACCTAAGGTGATGAGTTCAATACAAAATAACCAATAAAGGGGCTCCCTGGTGGTGCAAGGGGTTAATTCACAGTATTATGAAGATATCTGCAGCCACTGCAGCACAGATTTTGATCCCCAGCCCCAGAGGTGATCCACAAGGCCCAGCAGACCACTCCTGTGGTGCCCGCTGCTTCCATCAACAGTGTATTTCAGTACATCTGCCTGTTCTGCTCCCCACTCTGTCTCTGGTGAATCCTCTTAACCACTGTACTTCTGGCCTGCATCCCAGCTTTATTTTTTTTTAATTAAAAAAAAAGTCAGTGTAGGCCATTCAAGGCTAAATAAGGAAAGTGTACCATGAACCAAAGATTAATTCTGTGTACATGAGAGGCAAAGGAAAAAAATAGTATGGCTTATTTTCACAAATTTCTTAAAACTATATAGACATTCAAAATAGATTTTTAAGAAGTTGGTATATTACAATTTATGAAAATAAGAAATTTTGGATAAGAGGTTGAGATTTTTAAAATATACTACTAACAACTAGCATCCGCTGATGATGGACGGTGGTGGTGACTGCATGATGTAGTACATGCACCTTATTCTGCTATATAAACACTCAAGTTAAGTTTCATGTTGTATATTTTAATATGCATGCCTGAATAAGCTGAAAGAAAAATGTCAGCACAGAGGTTCTGCTCTAGTTTGGATACTTAAAGGATAAAATGTTCAATGAATGAACAAAATCTGTCCCTTGACTCTGACTGTAATTACAAAAAACTTAGTTCCTCCAAAGAGCTAAGGCACCACGATTTAGATGCTCAAAGAATTATGAATTAAATTGAAGTGAAATGTGATAGCTTTAATTCAAGAAAATTTTATAATCAATACTAAAAAATTTACTAGCCACCAGTTAAATTAAAAGTTGTATTTCTCTATTTCTTAACCCCAGCCAACAGACCTCACATATATGCTACTGATACCACCCTCTTACCTGATAATCCTGCGGAATAAAGTTATCAATAATAAGCATCTGAAGTCTAAGCTCCCGACTAAGCTGCCGAATATTCTCCAGTAGCCCTTCAATCTCCCTCTGATGTTCTTGTTGGAGATCAGCCATCTACAGGAAAATATTAAGGACAAGCCAAGATTTTGAGTACAGAACAGTTCCATGTGATATGGAGCACTGGTCTAAGAAACCTTGAGAGTGCTTACCCAGTTCTTTCACAAAAGTAATGAACAAAATGACACTTACTGTCCCACAATATTAGGTAAGATTGGGAATAAACACTGTAGCTAAGTAGCTAAAATTTTAAATTGCACATAAAGGAGAAATAATTTATTTAAAACTATAAGCATACACATAAGTCCTCTAGGATTATAAATAATACCTAATCAAACAGACTTTAAAATTTTTCAGAACTACCTTTTTCAGTAAGCAGTTTCTAAGAGACCAACCTCTGACTTTGCAGCCATCAACATAGTCCAAACTTTCTTTAATTTCTTGGTCTTTCCTTGTGCTTCCTCTTGCAAACTAGTATATTTTTCTTCAATATCCAAGCGTTCTTGCTATGACCAAAAAAAACAACAACAACAACAAAAAAACTTCAGGACTACTTTCTTTATTAAATCACAAATTTGATCTAGCATATGACAATTGTTTATTAGCAAGTTCAGTTGGCCCTGGAACAGCAGTGTCTGAGCCAAGCAAGCCTACTCACACACAGGTGTGTTTCCCTCTTCTTCACCTCAGCATGAAGATGATGAGGACAAAGACCTTTATGAAACTACATTCATGATCTTCTCTAACATTTTCTTTCCCTAGCTAACTTTTTGCAAGAATACAGCAAATAAAATATATACAATATATTGGTACTCTTATCACTAATGCTTCTGGTCAACAGCAAGCTATTAATACTTAAGTTAGAGTGAAAGTTCAAGTTCAACATGATTTTTTGATTGCATGGGGGCTGGTCTTCCTAACCTCCATGTTATTCAAGGGCCAACTTTCAAATAGCCACAATTATGCTTTACATTTTCACTAAGATTACTGATAATTCACTTTTTCTAGAAAAATTAGGTTCTTGGCAAAGCATGAACCGAAACACTCACATTACCTCTTTTTCCTCAAGTTCTCTGCGAAGCTGTTCTGCTCTCTTCCTCCTTTCTTCCAATTCCATATTAGACTCTTCAAGAAGTTTTTCTTGTTCCTCAGCTTTCGCCAACAAATCAACACCACCAACAATTACCTTCTTCTCCAATGCAGATAATTTCTCTAGCAAAGTCTGATGCTCCTGTCTGTTGATTAAAATAACACTATAATTAGTTGCTGTTCTACAATTGTTTCACAAAATTTAACAAGAATTTGACATACTTTTCCCAAATCTAAATGTAACAATGTTAACATCTCTATCAAATTATACCGCTATGTAGTATTAATTTTTTATTGAATCTGTAACTTAACTAAAACTCATTGATATTCCCCTGAAAGGGAGAAGAAATAATCAAAATGTAATTTTTAGAAATATGCAACATATGGGCTCTCCCTGTTGGCACAATGGTCTAAAGCACAGCACTGCGAAACTACCCATAGCCACCACGGCTACACTGTGTTTGATTCCCATCTGGGATGGTGACCCACATGGCTCGGCAGACCTCTCCTGTCCCACTTGCTGCTCACCTCAACAGTGTACTTCGTCCATCTGCCTGTTCTGCTCCCCACTCTGTCTCTGGTGAATCCTCTCATCACCCCTGTACCTCTGGCCTGTACCCCAGTTCCGTATGCACAAATAAACGTTAAAAAAAAAAAAAGGAACACACCACATACACTGAACATTTCCATCCAAGAGAGCTACACTGAAGTAGAAAATCAAGTGTTTAATTATTATTCAATATTTTTACTTTCACATCCTATAAAAATACTAGAAATTTAAATCATGACGCCATCCCAAAAATACTTACTGGGCCTTAAGAAGATCTTTTTCCCGTTTCTCTAATTCAGCTCTAGCCTTGTTCCTTTCTTCTTCTTCCATGTCAAGTTTTGTTTCAAGTGCTTTTCTCTCCTCATCAATTTTTGCTTGCATTTCCACCATCTTATCTGGGGAAACTTTCTTTTTACCTATTTGAGTCATTTAATTACAACAAGCACACCAGAGTCAACATTTCTACTTGTGTAAGTTAAATTCAATACATAAGATACATCCTTAGTGGAAAAAAAAAAAAATCAACACTTTTAAGAAAATCAAATCATACATTACATTTCTATTTACTGTATTTATAAAAAGAACTTTTTAGCTAGTTGCTAAATTCAAACATTATCCAACTGTCAATAACTAAACAAAAGTAAAAGAAAAGCAAAAGAGATGAGCAGCAACAAAAGATTAACAGGAAAGCCAAATAAATTAAAAGGCAAGAAAACCTGTGTGCACTCACAGAGCATATGTGGTCCAAAAAGCAGTATGATTATTTATGCTTTTTTGATATTTGGGGTATAAATTCAAGTGATTTCTCAAAGTGCCCCCCAAAATATATACAGGTAAAAATGTCAGGCAGAATTTATACCAAGTAGTTTTTAATAGATATTTTCAGAGTTTTTCTAAACTCTTTAACAGAATTACTTGTGTTTCCACAGTATATTTTAAGGGAAGAAATTCCATGCTGACTTTATAATAGTTACATAGTAATTAATCAGGCAGTTTATAGCTGCTGAGCTGTTGTCACATGTCATAACTTATAGAACAACTAAAATAGCTTATAATTAGATCACACTCAGCATCCTACATCTCTTTATGTCAGATTAAACATGCCAGTGTCAAACCTACATGGAAATACTATCAAATAATATTGCTGGAAATTCGGCTGCTGATTATTTTGGTTCTAACAGCTAGTAGGGCTTTATGTATCTATAACAACTCAATAAAATAATTTTAAAATCACAAAATTGAAATGAAAAATCAAAGAGTGAAAATAAATTCTAGCTCATTTAACTGTTTATGAAACTGAATCAAAAGTAATTCATTTCTGGTAATTCAAATTCTTTGAAACATACTTTCAGAGAAATGATCAAACTTTTTGTAGAATTGGTCTGAAGCTCTCCTCTAAGTTTATCTTTCTTATTAACTTCCTTCCCAAAGGACCATGGAAGACTACAAATCAGAAGTATTCATAAATTGTTAATGTCTTCACCCAAAAGTTAACCTCTCCTGCTAACAAGGAAAGAGAACCAAATAATGATTGTGCTGGAGATATAGATCTTGAGTTTATTCTTTCAGGAACCATGAGGAAAAGAATCATTTATAGCCTTTAATTTTTTAGGGTAAAATTCTATTTTAAAAAAGAAGGCTTAAAATACATCATCCTTCATTTCTGGAGAAATAGCCCAAAGCAACTAAAGCCACAAAACAAATAAGTTAAATAAAAGAGTAAATAAAGCACTGATCCAAATTCATGCTTTGGTGTGGTGTGATTCATTGCATTCCAAAAGTCAGGATTTAGACCTGATCACATTGGTTTTTCTGGCACAAGCACCTGTATTGAATGTTCAAAATTACACTGCTAAAAAATAATTTACAAAAGAATTCAACTCCTATTCTTAGTGAATTCCCTGGAAGGATTTCTTATCGGTTATATTGTTTCCTAGAAAAAAGAGGGGGGAACTATATGTTCAGGTATAAAGTGAGTGCATGCATTTTAAAAAATTTCAACTCTCTTTCCATCTCAAATATTTAGAGGGAAAAAACGGGACATATGTTAAGACAAAAAAAAAAAAACACAACAAAAAGGTGTCAGTATAGAGGAAATGATGTGATCAACATACGTACACTAACTTTAGGCTTCTGTATTCTATTGTTTTGTTAACAGAAACATAGTTTCCAAATCTTTCAACTGGCAGTGAAATAAAAAGATTACATATACATTAATACAAAAGCCTGTATCTATTAATGAATTACTATTATGACTGAATTGCACTCATTCAAAACCATTCAGGCAATATTTTGATGCTTTAGCAGCATAAGTTTTGTGCTCGTGTGATATTTTTATAAAGATAATCATGCATATATAGCTAGTTTCAGTTTCAAAAGCATAATATTTAAATAACATATTATTCTTGCCAGAATTATTGTAATAATTATGTTCTCTCCAAATCATACATTAAGCTAAATGTATGTGCCAACCCTCCTAACAAGGTATTTAAAAATGTGACATCACTACAATCACCTCTAACACTAAATCTAACAAAACAAAAAATCCTAATAATAGGATTTTTTTTTTTATGGAAGATATAAATTTCATTTTATTTATTTTTTTTTAATAATAGGATTTTTATATGGTAGTATTCAGCAAAAATTTAATATAAATCTTTAAAAAATTTATGTCACAGAGTAATTAACTAAGTTTACCAAGAGTAGTAATGTTTTTATAATGGTCCTTTGTAATATGTGCTAACCAAAACAGTATATTTTGGCAAGAGAAAGTTAAAGAGGGGAATTTTAGCTAAATGTTAATTTCATTTTCATTTCATGAACACATAAAGGCACAAGAAACAACTTCGCTTTAAAAAAAAAAATACACTTGAATTTGAAGTCATTTATATTTGCACTTCCAAAATTTGGCTTACTGGGCTTTAGAATTTAGGAAAAAAAGCTTTAAAAAAAAATAAAGAGGATTTTTTTTTTGATACAAGACAGATACTTACCTTGTAAAAAAAAATTCTGAATTAAAAAAATTTAATATAGTTAAATAACAAAGTTGTTTAACTTAAATAACTGTACCACATGGAGTGCAAATCAATCACACCAACCTGCTTGATCTTTCAATAAGGAAGTAGTAAGCAAATCGTAGACAGGAAGCATATGCACAGAGATGAGGAGGAAAAAGAAAACCATTATTTCTTTTGTAAAACAAAGAAAAATGTATAATAGCACTCACTTATAGTATAAGTGTAGAAATAATTATCAAAACTGAAATTGAGCAATTTTATACAAAGAGGAAGGCATATTCAACACAAAGATGTAATTTATGCAAGAATAAGATTTAGTCTAAGATTTCAGTTCAAAACAATCTCCATTGTTCACAATGACTCCCAAATTTGTGCAATTTAACAATTCAGCACCATGTGGTTATACTAACAGAAGACATGAAATTGGGAACCCAATAGAACCTTGGAAATAATCTAAATAGGCAAAACAGAAAGGTAAGCTATTTTTAAAATTTATAAATTAAAAACAGCAAAACCTACATTGTTCAAATTTTCAAATTTTCCCAATTCAGTATTGTTCTAATATAAAAATCCATTAAAGGGTTCCCCCCTTCAAGAAAAGTCAACACAAAACCTCAACCAGGGCCCACCCTGGTGGTGCAAGGGTTAAGGCACAGGACTAGGAAGCAGTCGGAAGCCCTGAACCCCTGAACCCCTGCAGGGAGGTGGCCAGGAGGCACTTGCCAGACCTCTCCACTCCAGCCCACTGGTCCCTTCAGCAGTATTTGTGAATCCTCTCACCCCCTGCACCTCAGGTCTGGTCCCCAGTCCTTGTATGCATAAATATATAAATCTTTAAAAACAAAAACCTCAACCAACAAAACAAACATACAATAGTAATTTTTAGCGATTATTTGATTAACAAAGAATTTTTAAATAAATAGTTTTTAAATCTGCAAGTTTTCCCAATATATTTGGCTTCTCATGTAAGTAATTTTTAGAAGGAAAAAAGTTTACTGCATAAATTAAAATACATCTGTATAACAACAAACTTGTACTGACCCACCTATTAGTAGATTGTTAAGGGTAATTAAACAATGATTCTGTAGAAGTAAATCACCAATTGATGAGTCAAACAAAGGATACATTAAAGGCTACTGGTAGGTTTAAAAGGGGAATCACATACGAGTTACACACAGCAACCCTGGAGGGGACAACATCTTTCCATTTCACCAACACACTCATCACACAACAATTTATGTGCCAGTTATACAAATCAGATAAACTGACTGAATTTAACAAAATTACAGCTATTCTGACAACATGCTTTCATGTAACTACTCTTTAAGAATTAAGTTTTCAAAACAGAAAATCAACTATAATACCTCCGACTCAGTCTTATTCCACAATTTGTAATACAAAATAATACCTTTAGAAAGTTTTTAAAACAATTTTATGTATAAGTTTTTTTGACATTAATATTTTGATAAAAATGTAAGAATTGATAAGAGAAAAACAATTCCTATGATTCTTGATCTTCTTTTTTTAGAAAGCTAAAAGCTAAAGAAAAATAACCAATTGTTTTGTTATTAGTTTTGGAGATGGTAAGTATTTAGATAATGCTTTAAAAGACAGTAAGCTGCGAACTAGTACAAGAGACCATCAATTCCCTTTTCTTCTGAAAATAAAATAAAATTTACAATACTTTCAACTTAAATTAAGGTTTAAGAAGAAGCCGTTAAGTTTGAAACAAGTCTAGATAGATTCTACATTAAAAACTTTCTTGGAATCTGAGCTCTTAATCATGACCCTAGAGAATTTCTCAAAATCATCAGGCAATTTAGAAATAGGGATAAACACCCATTTGAAATAAAATACTACTAAAGTTATCTTTACTTGCTTCAAACTTTACATTTTTGTTTATTTGGAAGCTGTCAATCTCAAACTATCCCTAAGAATAGGACACCAACGTATAAGGTCTTTCCAATTTTAAGACATATTATAACAGGCACTGGTATGCTTCCTAATAAAATGTCTAACTTTGGAAATTCAGGACTAGTTATTATGAGTCTCTTATATTGAATAGAATTAGAAATTTATCATGAAGCAAAAAGAAACCATAAATTATTCTTTTATACAGCTTACTAGCTCTCTTTACATTATCTCAATTGCAAAAGCATGAATCTCTCTTCCATTGTCTGAAACAATAGCATAAGCATGTTATAACAATTAGGTTTAACTGGAAGCAATGAAGGGGGAGGATGGGAATAATCACATGCTTTATTCTACTAAAAAAATTCAACATGTATTGTTTAATTATGGAAAGGAAGCGGTGCAGCAATTCTCAAATGAAGCCCATGAGTTATGAAAAAGCAAAAGCTCTGTTAGAGAATTTAAGAGCTACCACTCACTAGGCAAGAACTTATCCAGAGGTTTCTCTATGACAGAACATGTGGAGTCTGAACTACTGCTGCTGCTACTGCCTGGAAGACAAAGAAATGAGCCCAACGGGAACCAAGGAGGAAACAAGAAAAATGAACACATACACAGAGAAAATTCAGTTCCAGAGCAAGTTTTAAAGGATAACTAAGTTTTGTAGTAAAGAACCAAAACTTCCTTTCCTTTAAAACCAGTCTTCATAGTCCATGCAATATTCTTTTTTACAACATTATACATGGAAATTAGAAACTGTAACCCTTTAAAAATCTATTGTGGGCAAACCCCACTATTACATAAAACTTCAGAAGACTAAAGTAAGAATAAAAAGTAAAGTCATTTGGTGACAGTAAAGCCTATTTAAGCTATTTGGGTTGCTAAGTTAAAGGGAACTGAATTTTAAAATTTAAAGTCAGGCACAATTAAAATAACTGGACTGATGTATCACCATTCATTATAGGCAGACTAGTTTGTTCCCAATGTCACTAGTGTCCTCTAATACATCAACCTAGCTGATGAAATTATGTATGTTTAAATTTTCATGGTAAAACTTGGAAAGGTTCACTGAATGTTTTAGAGTATTTAATCCTGGAAGTAAGGTATTTTACATATTAAGCAGTGGCATTTTTTCTATTTAAAATTTTGGTTTTAATGAATCTGGTATCAACTTTCAATGGTTTACTCTGAAAGACGAGGTATAGACACAAAACCACTTCTCTAAGACCGGGGTTTACAAACATTTTGTATAAAAAGACAGAAAGTAAGTGCTTTAGGCTTTGTGGCCCGAGCAGTCTCAAGTGCAAGCAGCCACTGACCACATGCATATAAATGAGCACGGCTATTTAATGTGATGTTACTTACAAAACGAGGCGGTGGCCTAGATTTGGCCAGTAGACCATATTTTGCCAACTCTTGCTCTAATAACGCTTTTCCTGTCTTTTTAAGTTATAGAATCTTTGTAAGTTTTAAATCTAAGGCTTCTGACCAATCACTTACAAGTTTATTTCCAACAAAATCATTTTATTGAAACAAGCAAAATATGCATCAGCTTGAAAAAAATGATCTACGTTAATGGAAGAGAGTTCTGAAAAAAATAAACATTTAGGGTAAGAGTCTTGAAATATAAGCCATTATAATGTGTCTGTCTCTTTTGCATGTTATTTGTATCTTAAATTCACAATGCCCTAAACAGGGTAAGAATGAGAGATTATATAGATTAAGAAAGTAAATTAAAAACTAAACCCCTCATGCAATTTTATTTAAAAATTAAATGACTTTTAAAGCCTAATCATGCTTGAAAAAAAAGTCTTATTTCCCTTAAAAATTTAGGTTCTTAACATAGATGAAATTCCACATAAGTTAAAACACTACATGAAATTTTAAAATGTACACCAACTATCATACATTGTTAATACTAAATTTTCAAAAATAGGACATACAGTTATAAATAGGACATCAATATAGGAGAAAAAATGCAAATTAAACTTATATGGCATACTTCCTCTGTTCAAATTGCTAGCACAACTAAAAATGGAAAAATAAAAGGCATGCGTCAACTCCTTCAGGAATGTATCACTGAGGCAGAAAATCCAGTTAATTTCTAGAACACTAAAAAGAGCTTACCCCTTCTTTTCTTCCTTTTCTCTCCATCTTCTCCAACCTCACCCTCTTCATCATCATCTTCCTCTGACCCACTGATATCTGAGCCTGATATTTCTTCCCCTTGAAAAGAAATTTGATACAATGTTTTTATTCTGTACCAGATAATCAGCTAATAAGGAAATGTCTTAACATGTCAAATGTTTTTATTAGTAGCAAACAGACCCTATTTTAATATTCCTAGTCGGCATATGAGATTTCCAACCTTAAAAAGTAATCATGATACCTGGAGGCTTTCTTTTTAAGTTCCTAAAGGGCAGTTAAATTTTGATCCACTTAAAATTTCAAATGAGGGCCCTCCCTGGTGGCGCAGTGATTTCAAAGGAGGGCAATCGCTGGTGGCACAGTGGGTTAGGATGCAGCACTGCAAGCTGGCTGCAGCCACTTCAGTGCAAGTTCAATCCCCACCCCGGACATGCCAGCTGCTCCCCTCTGCAGTGTATTTCATCAATCTGCCTAATCTGCCCCCCACTCTGTCTCTGGTGAATCCTTTCAATGTCCCTGCACCTCTGGCCTATATCCCAGTTCTGTATGCATACATAAATAAATCTTTAAAAGAAAATAGTTAGAATGGCAAACTTTAAGATAGGTATATTTACCAAAATAAAAAATGTGAAAAAGTCAGCAAAATAAATAAACTCACCATTAACATATCTATGAAATATCAAATCTTCAAAACATGCTGACTATAAATACCACCTAGTGGTCGCAGTTAAAATACCAGATCTGATAATCTAAGAGACAGTTCAATTACTGCTTTCCCTCAATACCCTTACTCAAATCCACTGAACAGGACCTTCCCGATGTTTGTCATGCTGACATCAAATGTGATTTCATATTATCTGACCAGTTTCCCAAGGACTGAAAAGAGGCTATTTTAAAGACCTATTATTTTGCAAAAGAGTCTTTATGCCAATCAGAAAGGATCTGTTCTTAGTTTGAAGGTGGGAGGAGTCATGAGCACTTCATGATGGTTAGTATCTCACCCTCATGAACAAGGTTTTCAAACATCATCTTGTTAGACTAGATTATCCAAGATAGAAAGTAATTTTCAAATTTAAGTATGACAGCTTATTTACAAGATCTTTAAGGAACTTATTTTATTTACAGTAAACTTGAATAACCTTGACTTCCTGATAGATTTCTTCAAACACTGAATTTGATATGTATCAAAGAGAAGTCTGATAATTTTCACATACATACACATATGGTAGAACTTGGTCTTATACAAAGACAAGTAAAAATTACTTTATGAGGCCCTCCCTGGTGGCGCAGCGGGTTAAAGCACTGCACTAAGAAGCTGAAACCACTTCCGCATGAGTTCGATTCCCGCCTGCCCCGGAGGTGACCACATGGTGTGGCAGACCTCTCCTGACCCGCCCGCTGCTCCCCTCAACAGTGTACTTCGTCGATCTGCCTGTTCTGCTCCCCACTCTGTCTCTGGTGAAGTCTTTCGCCGCCCCTGAGTCTCTGGCCTGTACCCCACTTCTGTATGCACAAATAAATAAATCTTAAAAAAAAAAAATTACTTTATGAATGGTCATAAAATTTACAGCATGGGAACTGACCTGCAAGTTCAAATTAAGTGATTTTTGTAATCACTTATAAAAATATTACATAATTTTACTTGATTTTTTAATATGAAAATGCTAAAGCATGTGTCAAGGTACTTTGCAGAAATATGCCTTTACATATCAATGTTAGAGTTGCACAGAATTCTGAATAGGTGTTTTTATCAGAACATACAATGACTAAGAAACCTATCTTAAGCCAATGTAATGATGAAAAGTTTGAGAAAAGTTACCTTCTTCAAGTTTTTTTTTCAGTTCTTCTATTTCTTTCTGAAACTGACGAAGCAAAGCATCTTTTGGATCTTCATTAATTCTAGCCTTATTTTTAATATTCTTAGCCCGGTTGGCATAACGTAATGTACTGATAGTTTCATCATAATTGTAATCTGCTGGCCCAATATTTGCACACTATTGAATTAGGAATAAAATATAGATATTACACTTGACAAAGGAAACAATACCAACATTATTATTATATCAAAAAGAATTTCTGAATCATATTTACATTCTGGCCTTTTTGAAAAAGAAAGCATCAAGCACACAGATTTCTAATCAATATTATGGGCTAGTATACAAGGTATGCTAAAAAAAAGAATAATTACAAATCAAAGAAATAAAACTTTCAATAGTTTTCAAAATGCTATGCATACTAATTATTGGCATGAACAGGAATCTTTAATTTGCCTGATGATAACCATACCATCAATTAAATCTTACCATCATGGTTTTTGAATTTCCGCCTAAGGAATCCTGAAGAAGACGAGTCAATTTAGAGTTACGATAAGGTACGTGAGTGCTCTTTCCGTCAACCAAAGCAGAGATTACATTACCAAGGGTGGAAAGGGAAAGATTGATTTTCGTAGCTTCCTTTAGGCGCTGTCCTGTAGCTCCAGTTTTTGCTTGTCTTTCTGAGCCCTAACAATAGAGACAGAAATTAAGCTAAAATAAAAAAAAAGTGAAGAACAGCCTTCTCAAAGTATAAGAAAAGTAATTAAATGGTAAAAACAGCTGATGTGGTACCAGGAGTTCACCTCAAGGTAACACAGGCAGCGTGGAAGTAGCTAGATGTGGAGGTGAAAAAGGACAGCTAGAAAAATTCCGCAATAAAAAAACACAGACAAAAGTGAACAACTTTGAAACAATGAGAAGTCAAACATCTTCACTTGAATTTTTATTCATTTATAAAAGTCACAAGAGTTATTCCTTAAGTAGTATCACATTACTTACAGCAAGATCAACAAGATGAAGTTTCCCCATTCTGACATGCATGTTACCATCAACTCCTTTTTCACTGCACTCTATAGTGATTGTAAAGATGGCATGGGAACGAGAACTATGTTCATTCATATTAGTTGCACCAACAGAACCTTGAATAAAGGAAATTTTTCTTAAGTATAACAACAGGGAATCCTTAAAAAATAATAAAATATCCAGAATGGTTAAAATACATAATCCATCACAACTTAAAGCCAGAGTATGGCTAACCCATAAAAGCATAAAGCAATTACTAGCAATTTATCTAACAGCTTATGTTGACAACAAAAAATTTATGTTTCTCATATCAGGGATAATTTCCTAGAACAAAAATATTTAATCTTAAGTAATGCTTAAGTATTATTGACTAAAAAATAATTTACAGGAAAATATAAAAAATAATTTGAAAAATTATCACTAATTCAAGTGTTTCTATAAAGTGTTATGTCTGGGCACTCTGAACCACAGAGCATTTGCACGTAAGCCTGAGGTGACACAAAGACACTCAGTGCAGCCCTGTTCACAATAGCAGATCAGAAAAACCAATAGGAGTGGTTAATCAATGATAGAATAGTCGACTATGAATTACTACAGTCTTCTAAAAAAAAAAAGATCTGAATGACCATGGAAAGAGTTATAGCAGAATACATAATGATCCCATTTTTGTAAAACAAAAACATCCATTCAAAATACAAGTACTTATGGGCCCTCCCTGGTGATGCAATGGGTTAAAGTGCAGCACTATGAGAATATCCACAGCCACTGCACCAAGAGTTCAATCCCTGGCCAGGGAGGTGACCTACATGGTGTGGCAGACCTCTCCTGACCTGCCCACTGCTCCCCTCAGCAGTGTATTTCACATCTGCTTGTTCTACTCCACACTGTCCCTGAGTAATCCTCTTACACCTCTGGGCTACACCCCAGTTCTTGTATGCATAGATTAAAAAAAAAAAAACTTTAAAATACATATATATATATCAGTACTTGTACAGAAATATTTTACATAAATACACTGTGTCAACAAAGTCTTCCTCGCTTTTACAATACGCAAGCATTGGATCTTTCTTGGATTGGAAATTTCTAAGCACTTTAAAAAACATTTTGTTAATTTTACTGTATGCCAACATTACTCTCTACTGTATATTCATGGAGAACTCCATGCAAGTTTTGATTTTAGAATATTCTTTACTGGCACATAACTATATAAAAAAGTCAGATAACCAAAATGTAAATTATATGGACAAAGAAAAGCCTGATTAAATAAAAAAAAGAAAGAAACTGCAAAGATTTATTACTCCATACTGTATCATTCATTCTTTTTAAAACCAAATTTTGAATTTACGAATTTTTCCAAAAATATAAAAAACTATTAAGTCAGACAACACTTCAAATCATCTGATCACTAGTGACATTATGTGTGTTTCCATGGAGTATTATGTCTAATTTTATCATCTGTATCTTTTCCACTTACCCTATGTATATTTCCATGTAAAAACAACTTGAAACTTCTACCAATACTAGTTTTACTTTTCATATACTGACAAATATCTAGGAGTTTCCCCCCCCCATTTTAGGTACTTATAAGGAAAACAAATATGAGCATCTTTAAACAGGTATCTCATTTTTTTCTTTAGGAGTTTTACTACCATTTATTTATTATCATTAGGATGTACCTTCCGAACTAAAATTACTAGAACAAAGGGTAACACTAGTTTTACATCTATGTTCTTCCAATTTGGAGTAGAAGAGAATATGTTAATTTTAAAAAATCATGGAACAGTTTAGTGTGATTGCTTTTACAATATAAAACTATTTCTGGATATGAAAACAAATGCTGCTACAAGTGACTAACACAGAACTTCACAATTCTTAGAACAGTGTGCAACATTCAAGCAAACTCTTTGTTCCAATCTATTTACACATCACAAAACGGATAACAAAAAAACCTCCAGTTTTAATGTTTGCCAAATATTTACAGACTCATGTATATATAATATTTACTACAGTATTGCTGGTAATAGAAAAATTGAAAACTCATTAAGTCTATTAATAAATGATCGGGTCAATAAATAATGTCAGTCATACAATGAAATGCTATATTGTTAATTTTAAATGCCTTTCTATGTCCTAGTGGGTGCTAGTGTAAAGAGATCTCCAAGAAAATATTAACTGAATAGAGTATTATTATCTGACCCATAAAGAAGGTACGTACTCTCCGTAAAACACACACTTGAGCACACACAAACTCTATCAAAAAGAGCACAGAAGAAAGGACTAGAAATGGACACCAGAAAAAGCAACCAGGTAACAGACAAAAGGGTAAGATAGAGACTTGGTTCTCAATGCACACTTGTGTTTTGAATTTGTTTACCATGTTTGGATGATCTATTCAAAAAGGTAACTTTTCAAAAAGTTGTTTATGGTTTCAAAGGCAACACTGCACTGTAGAAATATTAATTAATTTACAATGATAGGCCCTCCCTGGTGGCGCAG